AAGTATGTGTCAGATCAGGCTGACAATTTAGAGTAAGGCTGATTATGGGTCCCCTAGTTTTACTGCTTCCTGTTTGGAACCATAAAAAAAGCCCAGTGTCACACAAACGCATGCCCAGAAAAGCAGAGACAGTTGTCAAAACTGGGCTTCTGGAGTTCATTGAACTGCAGGCAGCAATTCTGATTTCCTGCTGTAATTAGAACATTGAATTATTTTTGAATGGAGGCATTAAATATTTTTTCCCTCTAATTATTTTAATTAAAGCCTGATGAGGCAGGGACTGGGGAGGAAAGGACGAGATGACTTCATGTGTCTTGTTCTGCTGGGCCACACATGGCTCTGTGATTTCAGGTTTGTTGGTAACGTTCATCGTGCCGTGACAAAAGAAAAGCTAATGTCTCCCAACCTATGGCGTGATCGTCTTTAGTCATACGCACCAGCCCTCACTCACTGAAGACACAAAAGTCTGTCCATGGTGCTGCACTGCGCGCTGAACTCCGGGAGGCAATGTGGCAGACACAGATGGAAGCCCTCCTGGGGAGCATTTGCAACACCATGCATAGAGAGGGGGCAACATCCTTGCTGCTCTGCCTGGCCCGTTCACCCTGTTCCCCCCGTTTTTGGGCATACAGTGCACGCGGGAACAGGGTCTCTTGTGGCTCTGTGCAAGGTCTGGATAGGACCCAAATCGGGTTCCACCCTGCTCACTGCACAAGATTTGGCTAGAACCTGGCCCTCAAGTAAAGTGGCTTCAGTAGAGCTACTCACTTGAGTAATGGCTTCTAATAAGAATAACGATGGCAGAATTGGGCCCATAATCTTTTATATCTGCTGTGAAAGTCATGCCACAAAACATGGAATTTAATTTGAGCAAATCACAGTAATTCCATGGCTACATTTTCTTTTTAAAAGGATTGCCAAAGTCCTTGTGGTTTTGAAGATAACCTTCTAAACATGTGGCAAGTGTAACTGACGCACTGATGTCTGTCTGAGTCTGCAGGCAGCCTGAAACAACAGCTCTAAAGGAGAGGTATGAACTTCTCCATTCACCTCAAGGTGCTGTTAACTCTGTTGTCATTGAGTTTCAATGTAAATAGCAATGTTATTAACTGTCACATTAGCAGAAAGGCCTGGCCAGTGTATTGATTCATCATGGTTGGATGCAGCGGGGGACATTGTGGTGGGAGGCAGCGTAGCGGTTGGTTACCATCAGGGGCTGTTCAGAGGCCTGAGGTACTTTTGCCCCATCCTCCCCACAGCCAAGCACCTCAACTGCCTCCTCAGCCCCATTCTTATATGCCTTCCTTGGTCCCAACAGTTCCTTACCCTCCACCCTATGACAACCTCTAAGGTAAGCATTGCCAACACAGAGATCTCTGCCCCACTGAAAATGGAACATTTGGGGACAGCTTAAAATCAGTTGAACTTACCAGGGAAATCAATATCCCAAGGGACTTTGGGGAGACACTATCATTCAGATTCCATTGCTAGTGCTGACTGTGCCTGATTCTGCAGAGGAACTTCCAGCCTGTGTCAGACGGTTGCAGAAACCAGGAGGCCTGGCAGCTGAGCTTAGAGCCAGCTTGCCACAGGGCATTAAAGTATCATTTCCTGCCAGATCAGAGGCTGGGAGCAATCATTATTCTAGCAGCGCTCCCCCTGATCTCTGGAGAGACCAGGCCTTACATTTCTAAGCGTATTATACTCTATTAGATGCTTCCAGCATTGCTTACAGCATTTTACCATCCTTGTGTGCTCTTGTAACCCAGGCTAACACTGGCTTTGTCTCCCACCACTGCCTAGATTTGAGGCAGCTACTGCCTCCATGGTTTAAGTCTGTTACTGCCTCCATGCTAACAGAGCTGGTCCTTCACCTCCAGCAGTAGTAGTTTACTCTTTTAGATCCAGAGATCCTGGGTTCAGTCCTAAGTTCCCTGTAAGCTGCACGGCCATGCAGCAGGCTATTAAGTGCCGCACAGGCGCTCAGGGAACCCTCCCGGCTGGGACCAGCCACGGCCCGGGGAGAGGCGCCCCTCCCCCAGCCCCAACTCAGCCCCAGACCAGACCTGCCATGGCCGGGGAAGGGGAGCCTATCCCACAGCCCCAGCCCCAGAGCTGCCGAGGCAGGGAGAGGCGCCTTTCCCTCCCAGCCCAGGTGCTGCTGTGGGGAGAGAGAGTTGGGGGGAATCCTCTCTCCCTACCGTAGCTCCGGGGCAGCCTTCACCCCAAACCCCTCATCCCTGGCCCTACCCCAGAGTCCACACCCCCAGCTGGAGCCCTCGCCCCCCCCACCCCTCTGCCCAAGCCCTGAGCCCCCTCCCACACTCCAAACCCCTCAGCCCCACCCTCACCACATGAATTTTGTTATGTGCACCAGTGGTTGGAGCAGTGGCAGTTGGGCCTAGTAGTCAGTGCGGTGGCAGTCAGCCCAGGAAATGGAGCTAGAGGTCAGACCCAGAATCAGGAGTCAAGAGCAGAGTCAAAACAAGGCAAGCATAGGACTGGGAGCTGGGCTGGAGCAGGCTGAGGCCGGTGGAGTCTGTCACCACTATCAGACAGGGGAGAGTCCCAAGGGCAGACTGAACAGGTGCTATGGCTCCTGTGAGGCTTATACACCTGCCCTCCAGTCACCAGACCAGCTCCTGGCTTGTGGATTGACTGAGCCTAGCACAGGAATGACTCACCCACTGCATGTAGCTTAATCAGGCTTTAGCTCAGGGACTCCTCATGCAGCCAGCCTTCTGCCTGCCAGGGAGTGGGTCACTGAGCCACACCCCCAGCTCTCTAACTCTCCTTTGGCTGGAGAGTAGCTTCACAGCCTCTCTCATGTCCCTAGTTAACCCTCCTCCCAGCCGCATTATACACTTGGAGAGGGACTCAATGAAACATGAATAATACTAAGTGCTCATCTTTACCTCTTGCTACTCAGCAGAAAATCAATACAGGCTCTGTTACAATACGGGACATGCTGTTACTACCGGCCCTGTGTTTTGAGGACACTGCTACAGCAGCCTGCGGCATAGAAAAGCTGATAAAGGCCGAGCAGCAGTTCTGGGAACTAGGCTACCGCAGGCCTGGCTATTAATCACACAGTTCTTTGCAGGTGGCTTGTGCCAGAAAGACTTTATGAAGCCTCAGCATTTCCTTGTGGACCAGGTAAGACAAATCTTCCACCCTTCCGCTGTACCAGACACTGGGTTTCTGCAGACGCCTGGTGGCAGCAATATTATCAGTAACGATAACATACTTTGCTCTTGGATTTCTTCCTTTAAAAAATTCTCCCCGTCAGTCACATGCACAATAAAAACCATTAACACACACAGATTGCCCTTGTTATGCCAAGATCCCAAACTCCACTATGAAGAGTGAGTATTGTTTTCCTTGCAAGTGTATAACCCCCATCTTAAAATAGGGAAACTGAGTCATAGGGTGAAGTTTCCCCGGTCTCACAGCTTCACTGGGTCAGAGCTGGGGACTGAACCCAGATGCCCTGACACGAACACCTAGACTTTAGCCATATGATCATCCATCCTTCCTCTCCTATACAGCATCCATTAAAGAGCTGTGCATGGCCGGCAGATAACTGCCCACAACCAAAGCCATTTCAAATAGCACACACAAAACAATGACATCTCGGGCCAAACACAGCCTGGGGCAGGTGTGGTGCAAGTAGGATATGGACAGCTCCAGGCCACATCCACCAATGATGTAAGTGCCAAGTGACACTCTGCGGATGTGCATTAGCTAAATATAGACTTTTCAATAGCCTCATCACCATGCTGTCTGAGCAGCTCACAAATATTAATGGCCATAGTCTCACAGCACCCCACTAGGTAGGGAAGCTTTATACAAACTTTCTACAAGCTGAGCAGAGGTACAGAAAAGTTAAGTGATTCACCCAAGATGTCTTTAGTAACAGCAGGTCCCAGTCTAGTGCCTTAAATACAAGGCCACCCTTCCCTTGTGCGCAGGCTAACAAGCTTCCTGACCAACAGTAGACTTTCTCCCAAAAGATCCCAAATCACTTTGCAAGCTAGCCACACGGATTGCCACATGAAATGCAGCCACTTTTAGGCTGAAACAGGACAGCTGTTTAATGGGGCACAGTAACACCTTCTAACAGTTGAAGGCAGGAAGTGAAAAAATAACCTCTTACCCCAGTTGAATTTGCAGGACAAATGGAGAGCTGCCAAAAGCTGAAATTCAGCCAGGACAATAGAGTTAATACCGGTTGCTACTCTGATAAAGATGCTGTGAGATCTTGAATAACCAAGCTTTGCTTTTATGGCTCATGTGAAAGGCACGTCCCAGGCAGTACAAAGATAAAAGGTTTAGAAAAATCTGACCTGGGAGGAAAGTTAAGAAGACTGGGCATGTTTAGCCTTGAGAAAAGACGACTGAAGGGGACCTGAGAACAGTCTTCAAATATGCTAAAGGCTGTTGTAAAGAGGACAGTGATCAATGGTTCTCCGTGCCCACTGAAGATAGGACAAGAAGTAATAAGCATAATCTGCAGTGAGGGAGAATTAGGGTAGATATTAGAAAAAAAACTTTCCAAATATGAGGAAAGGTAAGCACTGGAATAGGCTTCCAAGGGAGGTTGTGAAATTCCAATCACTGGAGGTTAAGAACAGATTAGACAACACTCGTAAGGGAAAGCCTGCTCTAGGTTTACTTGGTTCTGCCTTTGTGCAGGGGGGCAGAATTAGATGACCTTGTGAGGGCCTTTCCAGCCCTATGTTCTCTGAGTCTATGATAGCACCACGCTGGGAAACTGATTAGAGGAAGGAATGCCAGGTACTAAGCGCTACCTCACTTCCTGGAGGTCTCCCAGCTCCCATGCAAATAATGACCCAGCCCCCACCCCCATTTGGGGTGTGGAAATACAGCCGGTGCAGTGTGGTACAGCCTGTCTGATGTGTCACTCACATGAGTATTTATGACAGACAGTGAGGGAGCAGAAAGTGTCCTACTCTTCCAGGAAACTTCTAGTGAGTCAACTAGAATGCTGTTGCGGTGGCATATTCCGATGGCCTGGCTGCTGCAGTAACTGAAAGCTTTTCAGCATCGTCTGTCTCCCATACTCTGCCTGATACTGTGACAAGAGGAGTTGAGATAGAACATGGGCCGTGGAAGTCCTGCTGGGTTAGATAGCAGGAGCAAGGCCCCCGACACACTGTTAAAAGCACATCTGCCTCCAGTGCTAATGCACAACTGCTTGGACAAATGTACCCTGCCTTGGGAGAGCCAGTCCATTTAGCTGTAACTGTATTAGGCTGGAGTTTGTTGAGATATGATAGCAGCAGCAGCACCGTGGGGAAACAGAACACTAAGGAAGGAGACAGCTAATCCATGTTGGGGAGATGGACAATGTGAACGGCAAAGCAAGCAACCCACCAGCACATGTGAACCACTGCTACAGAGTGCACCGACAACCTCAGACACCTTCCTTGGCTCCCCATTCCTTCCAGGAGCTCATTCATAAATCCCTCCACATACTAGCTCCAGCCAACCTTATAGGCTCATCTATCTCCCTTCTCTCTCCTCTTACAGTGACCTCAGTTTCACTGCTATTGGTGCAAGAGCTTGCTCCGCTGCAGCTCCTGCGATCTGCAACAGCGTCCCTGAAGCTCTCAAATGCATTTCAAATTCCAGCAGAAGGCATCCTTGTTCCCCCTTGTCTGTGTCTCTAAATTGCTCTATCCTCTTTCTTGCATCCATCTCTGTAACTGCATTGCTGAGCTCTGGAAAGCCTTTTGGGATAGAGCCCATATAATAGATGTGAAACAAAATAAAGCTGTAAAAGGGAAGATTCTCTCTTCCAGAAGATACAAAAAGGCACAAGATTTCCAGCTGCAGGTAGCATACAGGACACAGGGGACAAATGTCAGTCACATACTGCCCCTGGAGACACCTGTGAGATGACGTTATAAGGACTCGACTTGGATAACAGAATGACTGACAATAACCCTTAACCCAGAGTCTTAAGGCTATGATTTTCAGATGGTCCCTTTGAACATCCCAGTCTAAATTACTATGAACCACTTATGGGTCCTTCTTCCAAAATTAACCTACAGGTTAAAAAAATACTGTATACTGGAATCAGATAAAAACATTGTAAATTTATTTTCATGGGATCAGTGCAAACTTTGAAAAGCCAAGATCTTCCTTCCAACAACCTGGTAAATTTGTGACAGAGCAGAATGTGTCCCTAAATATACCTAGAGCTATCAAATCAGTCTATGGTAAGTGATTACGTGGCAGATAAGACTAGGTCTGACCTGCTCTACAACAGAATCAGATGATTGGATACTGTGCATATGGCATCAGACCTCTCAGAACAGAAACGTGCCTGGCTGGTCAGTTACTGTGTTAAATGGCGGTTGTGAGCAGGACCATGTCAAGTATGAAGGAAAAGGAAATGCTGGCCTACCTGGGGCAATTTCAAAGAGGTGTTTCCCTGGTTCCTCAGGCTGAGGGGTCAGCTCGCTCACCTGATTGCCTTGCAGTGGAATGAAACCCTGTAATGGACACAGAAATACCAGTGAAGGGGGAAAGGCCTTGAGGAAAGCAGGGAAGGGATGATAACACAGAACAGGGTTTTGCAGATTTAGACCTCCCTCTCCCCCTGATAATCTCTCTTTTCCACCCCACCCTTTTCTTTCTGGTCTCTCCCTCCTTCTCTTGGTCTGCTTGTCTAACACTTGCCTCCTCTGTCCTTTCCCACAATCTGGCCACTGTTGATGCAAGAGTCTTCTCCTTTCCCTCAACTGATATTTCTTACTGAGCCCCAGCATGTTCAGTGCTCTACAATCAGAGAAGGAGACACTTGCCACTCCAAGGATCTCTATTTCTGACATCAGCACTACCTCTGCCATTGGGAACAGCCTTCCTGTATCTCCCTGTCTGCTCATGCCATCTCTTATTAGTCTAGTCTGAAAACATCTGTTCTCCTTAATTTCCCTCTCACTCTGATTATGGTCTAAAAGCCAAACTTCTCATTCGCAGGTGGCTAAGGTTACGCACCAACATCCATATTTAGGTACTCAATAAGTGGCCAGACTTTCAGAGGTGCTGCACACCCAATAGCTCTCACTGGCTTTCTCGCTGCACATGGAGTCATTTGAAGTGGATCAGCTGATCCAAATTCCCTTGGACTGTGGAGGAATTTGAATCCTGGTCCAAACTCCTCTCTCCATTCCCAAAAATCCCAGGCTGTATCTTGAGAGAGGGCTGAGCCACTCCATTTGCTTCCATGTCCAAATGCCCCCAGAGTTTATGGCTGTCTGCAGCTGGGGGCACTGATGGACCAATGCTATATTTGAATTTGCCAGAAAGGCCTTTAGAGTGATGTCACAGCCATCCACCATCTCCCAGTGGTGCACAGCTTGGCCTCCCATTACCATGGAGAGGAAAGTCCCTCCCCTTATTATGGGCCGGGAGAGGAAGCAGCACTTCCCTTTAAAGTCCTGCTATGGGAGACCAGAGAGAGCTGGCTAAAAAGTTCTCAGTTCAGGTTCTTAGGAATCTATGTGAGGTGAAGAGGGGAATGGCTGGCCAGAGGGGCTGGCAGACGAGAAAGGGAGTGAGGGGCAGATGGGCCACATGGAGGTCCTGTCCCCAATGAGCCCACCTGCCTTTGCAGGAAGCTGTTTGTGGCCCAGTGACAATTTTTTCCACTACAACATCCAGATTCCAAATGAGAACGCTGAGCAGCACAATGTTCACCCTGCAGTCATCATTTATATTCATGCACACAGTTGTTATCGGCTTTCAAATCATTTTAACAATAGGCAAACCCGAGAGACAATGGAGCGTGTATAATATACAATGCTGGTAATCAAAATCAATCCCAATTAGATTCTCCATCTGCTTCCAAGTTTGTGTTATTCGACTAACACAATTCTGGTATTTGATGGGGAGAGAGAATCCAGAATTTCTATTAAAGGAATAAAACCTGCCATGTGACCTTTGCATTCTTCCTTGGGTAGCTGGGAAGACAGTAAATTAATTTTTTCATTTATGTTATTGCATAATTTTTTCTCTAGCGTTGCCTTTTGGAATAATGTCTTTTGCACAGTTGCTTTCTTTGGAGAAATTACTGTAATAAACCAAGGAGCCAGCTGGTATTAAATGTAAATGAATTAAGCTTTTACTCTTTTCTTTGAGTGTATAATGTTGAAATTACCAGACATAAATTACCGAAGCAGCAATTCTTGAGCTGGAAAATATTGTCGGCTGGTAAATAAGCTCGGATTCATCAAGCTTCATGATGCAATGAGTTGGGACTCACTTTGATACAGCCCACTTCATTAAAATTACTCACTGCTCTGAATGGATGGATCAGCCTGTCACTATAGAGGGGGCAAACAGGCATCTCACTAAAACCTGGTAGGGAATGGAGAGTCGGGTCCACTCCTAACAAAGTAGTGGGGGAGGCAGCCCCCTTGTCAGAGTGGAGTTGTCTGGCCAACTCTTGTAGTGGCCTCCACGGACTCTAGAGGGAGCTTTATTCAGCTCCCCTTAATGAGGGAGATTAGTGTCAATTGAGAATGGTGACACTCAGGTCACTCAGGAAAGACCCACTCCAGAGTTTGATACTCCATTCCAGTGAATTACATGTTACAATCACTCTAGAGTTTATAAGGCTACGGTCCAGTGAACTAATAACCCACTCCAGAGTTTATGGTACTCCTCAACTAAGGAACAGACAATAACAAATGCTAAAAAACCCACCAACCCTATGCATCATTAAGGTTAACAATCACAAAAAGTTGGGAAATGCAAAAGTTAGTTTCAACAGCAAAATTACCTTGGTTACACTGCACATAATACCTAGCTCTTATGTAGCACTTTTTCATCCATACATCTCAAAGTACTTACAGCAGAGTATCATTATCCCCATTTTACAGATGGGGAAACTGAGACAAAGTGACTTGCCCAACGTTACCCAGAAGGCCAGCGGCAGAGCAAAGAATTGATCCCAGGTCTTCTGAGTTCCAGTCGTCTATCCACTAGGCAACACTGCCTCATCTGTGTTGTATATTTAATGAAACACACTATTGCTTTCGTTTGCAGAGAGTAAGAGGAACACTGTACCAGAAGAAGAGGAAGCGAAATGATATCACCCAACCTAGTTAGGGGTTCTGCTGGGACTTTCACTTTTGCAACCCCTGCCTTTTTGTTATTTAAACTGTGCAGTCTTGATGCATTTTCATGTCATTTTCTCAATTTAATTTCCCTGGATTTTCAAAGAATTCCCCCCCTGTACTTTATATAATTACAACAGATGGGTTTGCCTGTTTTTTTTTAATTGTTAAATTCTTTATGACTCTGAAAAATTTGCATTTGAAAGAGAAAGGAAGGATGGAGTTGCGTCTCAGAAAGCCAACAGCTGGCACACAGTGCTTGAAATCAGAGTGTTAAGAGAGCTGGCCAAGCTCCGGGAGGGACTTGGACCATCTACTGCTGGATGGCCCACCCATGGCTCCTATGGCAGAACAGCAGTCAGGAGGCGGCTGATGAAAAGGTCTCAAGACTTTGGGGTACATGGGAGTATCCCATCTGAAACACTGGAAAGGCGGGCAGAGCTCACCAGAAACCAAAGGCCCACCCCCCACAGGCAAGGGAGGGGCCACAGGATAGGAATCAACTGACCGCATGGGACAAGAAGAAAACAGGAGCAGGAGTGAGGGTTAAAACCTGGGAACCGAATAGGGATACTGAGCAGAGAACCCCAGGCAACACCCATTGCTCCACAAAGGAGTCTGATGACTCTGCCCAGAGGAACTCTGCCTCAAAGCAGACAACTAGGAAATGAAAATAGGTCCCTGGAGCTTACAGGTTTTTAAGTTAGCTTCAGCTAAGATATCATATCTAGCAGGAATGCAAGGAACCTATAGGCCTGAACCTTTAAGTTATTAGTGTAAGCAATAAAGACCATAAGCCGTAGCATATAGTCACTGCTGGGAAATTTACACAAGTCACAAGATGGCATAAGACATTTTGCTCATTTTGCAATATGCAGTTTTGTTGAGATCTTGCATAAAATGCTGATAGGTAAGTGCAAGAAGTCAGTTGATACTAGTTTTGGGGTATTTCGGGACAGGAACATCAGCAAATGCATAATTGCAACAGTAACCGACATATATGCTAATAAATCTGGGATAATTACTATACCAAGCTGTAGGACAAGGACAGCCCAACATTATTAGGGTGCGGACGTTAGTTATGGGCAAAGGATGCAGAACACACTCATGAAAATTCATGGCAGTCTTCAGACCCGATAATAGGACCAACCACAATCTAGGGAAACGAGACCTTGACCACTGGACTCGCATGGCATGACAGAGACAGGTGAGAACCCCTGTGGCCCACCACCTGCCTTCTATCCCGAGGTGAGTATGATATGACAAAGGAGGTCAAATGAATATTGCACTACTGCTATATTCTTGTTTGAATTGGAACCTTTGTGTTTTTACTAACAGTGTTAAAATATTGAAAACTCAGCTTTTCCTTAAGGGTGAGTGATGCCACCATGCATGTTAGGGTTCCCAACCAGTCAGTAATTCTAATTCTACTGGTGCTACAACCTATCAAACTTCAGAGGTCTAATCAGTTTGCTAATTAGGGATTTAAAATAATCAATATAGCCAATAGATGAGGCAAGACCCCTCAGTCACAGAGAGTCTCCCTGTGAAGCTGTCTCCTCCTGGACTGGAGGAAGTCTCATGCCAATGTGGAACATGATATCAGGCTGATGGTCCTGAAGACTGAGGTCCTCTATTTATCTACATCTAGTGGAAAGGACAATCTCCCCAGTGCTGCCCTGTCAAAGAGCCTCATTGCTGAGCTAGAGGGACCACGTTTAAGGGTGAGAAGGGAATTCAGTTTCCATGGCCCATTCTTTCTTTGGCCTCTTGTTTTTGACTTGCATCAAGGGAGCTAGTTAGATAAAACAAGACAAATACAGATGGGTTACATCAACTCCCTTGGCTTCAGTTGAGCTTCACCAGCTTACACCAGGATTGGATTTTAGAGCTAGCCAAAAATATCTTACACAAAAGGTTTTTCCGTTGAAAAAAAGGGTTTCCTTCTTTGAAGGTAAAAACGGTTTTTGATGAAGATTTGTGGTTTTGTTGAAAACCCCAAAACCCAAAGATTTTTCATTTTAAACCCAAATTTGTTTGAGCTTTTGGTTTACCATCAAAAACTTGAAATTTTTCACATGTAAATGAAATCATTTCCCAGACAGGTCTACTGAATTTGGCCCAGTATTTTGGCTCTCCTAGACAGAGAACCCATTCTCTTCTAGGATTTGCACATTATTTACAGTATGCCAGGTTTAGCCCAGGAAGAAATTATTTGGATGAAATTAAGATAATGAATATACTGCTACCAAGATCTTCACCTAAACTGCATAAGCACAGCATGGCAACTTAACTAGTTGACCTTCCATTAGCCAGGGAGCTGTCGGATCCAGCACTCCACATCATTAATGAGACTAAATGCCACAGCTACA